TCTTTCACCTTTTCCCAAGAATGAAATTCTACCCATTCCACAATGCTTTGTAGAATACTCTTTTTTTACTGCATAACCATCACAGTTTTTTTTAGTCCAAAAATTAGTTTATAACCTTTTGTTGTGTAATTCTGTTCCTCATACAGCTACAAAGGTTAACAGTAGCAATATATTCAACAGGAGGCGTGTTTGTCTTTTCATGCACCGCGAGGGAGCAGAGTCTAGAATTCTCAGTACATGCGCATTGTCAGCATATTTCCAAAAATCGTCTTGCATGGTTTGTTTAGAGCACTGCAGTGTGAATGGCAAACACATTTTATATGTGTGGTGCTGAGGATGAAACCAATGATAGTGGTGCAGAATCTTCAGACATAGAAGATTGAATTTTTTTCTATATTTTTTTAATTGGTGCATTATGGCTGTACATATTGATGGGATTTGCTGTTGCATATTCATACATGCACACAATATAACAATATTATTTGGTCAGTATCACTCCCCAACACTTCCCTCTTCCTTCTTTGTGTCCCTTTCCCCCACCTTGGTCCCTTTTCTCTACTGATCTCCCTTCATTTTTAGGAGATCTGTCCCCATCTTTGTTTTCCTTTTTCCTCTCTAGCTTCTACTCAAGAGAAAACCTAGGACCCTTAACCTTCTGAATGTGACTTATTTTGCTTAACATGATGGTCTCTAGTTCCATCCATTTTCCAGCAAATGCCATAATTTCATTTTTCTTTATGGCTGAATAAAACTCCATTGTGTATATATACCACATTTTCTTTATCCATTCATCTATTGATGAACACCTAGGCTGGTTCCATAGTTTGGCTATTGTGAATTGTGCTGCTCTACACATGGGTATGCAGGTATCACTAGAGTAAGATGACTTTAATTCTTCAGGGTCAATTAACCTGATTAAATTAAATTTGTATGTCCCTACTTCACAACACTGTAGTAAATTTTATCAAGTGAACATTTCAATCTATAATGCACAAATCAATAACAACTAATGTTTAACTTTTATTTTTCAGACCAGAAAAATGTTTGCTAAACTGTCAGGAAGAAATGAAGTGCATTGATTTGGACTATTCAATTTTAACACATACTCACAAATATTCCATGCATTCTAATTTTGCACTAAAGACAGGTTAGTAATAAATTATTTTTAAGTAATACTGGCATAATTTAAAAACAAAACTGCTTCACATAATGGCTGCACCCCATTTTTTTTCAAAAACATTCGGCATAAAATCTGCAATGATCATGGGATAAAATACAGTGAAATTAGCTTCCACTCTCTTCTGTGGGTTCTATGGGAAGGGTATATGCCATGTCAGGCTCCTGGTTTCCCTCAGTCAAAATAGACCAAGTCTGTCATTCATTGCTGTCTGTGGTGCCCAGGCCAGGGCTGGGCACAGTTACTGTTCAGTAAATGTTTGCTGAGCCATCAAATGACTTTTGCTGCCCACTGTAGTCAGAAGCCTAGAACAAGGTCTGACCACACTGTCTAGCCCCTTCCACCCAGTGCTTCCCATATTGCCTTCATGAATACTACATTTCAGTGCCAAAACTGTACGCTTTGCTCTGAAGTTTTCATTTCAGAATTGTTAAACATCTGAAATATCAGCTGGGCCTGGTGACAATATACATATAATCTCAGCAACTAGGAAGGCTGAAGCAGGAGGATCTAAAGTTTGAGGCCAGTCTCAGCCACTTGGTGAAAACCTCAGCAACTCAGTAAGACTCTGTCTCAAAATAAGAAATAAAAGGACAGGGACGTGGCTCCATGATGAAGCACTTTTAGATTCAAGCCCCTAAAAAAATTTGAAATTTCAAACAATTCAAGTATTTAAAAAGTATGAGTTTTTAATGTATTCTGGATATTAATCCTCTGTCAGAAAAGTAGCTAGCAAAGATTTTCTCCCATTCTGGAAGCCTCTTTTCACATTCTTAATGGTTTCATTTGCTGTGCAGCAGCTTTTTAATTTGGCGCCATCCCATTTATTAACTCTTGGCATTATTTCCTGAGCTCTAGGGGTCTTATTGAGAAAGTCACTGCCTGTGCCTAAAAGCTGGACTGTTGACCCTATGTTTTCTTCTAGGAGTGGCATAGCTTCTGGTCTAATCCCTAGGCCTTTCATCCATTTTGAGTTGATTTTTGTGTAGGGGCTAATTTCATTCTTCTAAAAATATTATACACAGTTTCCCCAGCACCGTTTATCACATATTTTCTCTCATATGTGAAAGCTAGAGAGGAAAAAGGAAAGGGGGGGGGGGTGGCTCATGAAAATCAAAGGTAGATCTGCAGAGTACAGGAAAGGGAGGGAGATGGGAAAGGAAAGGGGGAAATTCTGAGGAATGATATTGCTCAAATTATATTGTTACATTGTGTGCATGTACAAAAATGTGAGAACAAATCCCACCATTATGTACAACTATAATGTACCAATAACAAAAAAAGAGGGAAAAATGTATGAGACAATTGTGAAAATTCAGACACTGGATATTTTCTGATGGGAAGGATCAGTTGTTAAGATGCAGCCACAGGATTGTGGTTACATGTTTGACAGGACCCTCTGCATTTAGAGATGCTTACTGAAGTAACTGCAGATGAGTTGACAGGATGCCGTGGATGGGCTGCAGCCGAATCTCACTGTGATCCAGGGGCCTGAGTAAGGGTTGGAGATGAGACCAGATGGGCCAAGAGCAGGTCATTGGTGAAGCCAGGCTTGGAAGTTCATTATCCTCATCTCTTAAGGTGTGTATATGTTTTGGAAAGGGGAGACTAATGATGCAAAAAATAAAATAAAATAAAACCTGAAATGGGAAAGGTGTCCTGGGGCCTGCTGGGAGGCCCTGTGGCAGCAGACGAAGACTATAGCAAACGTAGTTATTAGTCACACACTTTCCTGGCATGCGGAATATCAACATGACAGTTTTGAAACTAACACAGGAAACGTTGCATCAGAATCTCCATCTGAACAAGATAAAACTGAAGAACTTAAAGACAAAACAGAAATCCTTTGGAAACAAGAGTGATGATGGCTCCTTGTAAATTAAAGACAGCAGTCCCCCAAGAAAAGCCAAGGCCTCATCAGTGGGAAATATCGGAAGATATCATATACAGATATTTTCTCGCCATGCCCCAACTAGGGTAGAGTCAGGAAAAGATTTTTCTGGAAATTTTTCTAGGAAAAAAAAATCATACTTGTGACATAAGTATACTGCCAACATTCTTCTGTTTCAAGAAGCATCAAATAATATCTCCCCTTCAAGATTTTATGACGAAATTTTGTGTTTGTGAAGTGTGTAGATTTGGGCTTTGAGGACTTCCTTTTCGTTTGTTTTATCCACTAACAAACAGACTAGAATAATAATGTATATTTTTGTAAGTTTACATTTACTTAGTGTTCTAAAATGTTTTGTATTTCAAATGATCAAATATTTGGGTCTGTTGTCTTTCATTTTGAAAATACCTTTTTGTAAAACACAAATATTTATTAAGGCGTTATGTGACAGGCACGCGAACAGCTCTGGTTTTTTTCACTGCAGTGGGTGGGAAACAACTACTTGCACCCATCCTCCCAGCTGGAAGGGTGGGTGCCGGGAATCTCAGCTCTGGATGTGCATCAGGAGCACTCAGGGAATGTTTTTAAATGCTGATGCCCGGCCCTGCCCAGCTCAGGTAACTATCTCAGAGCATCTGGTGAGCGGAGGTGGGCCCAGGTGATGATGCAGCAGTTAGAGTTAGGACCACTGTGATTGTTGGTCCAAAGTAAGAGAAGTGGAGCCCCCCAGAGCTGGACTGCCTGACCCTATAGGTAGAACTTGGTGCCCAGTGCCAGCCTGGGTGGCCTCTTTAGGGCTCTAGCTACCTGCTCAGTTGGCCTCTGGGGGCAGGTGCAGCAGGCTGACTCCTCCCCTGAGTCTGGGAAAGAGCCAAGGAAGGTGACTGTGGCTGACGTCCCCTCAGGCCCCTGGGGAAAGCACAGGCTCCCTCCATTTCTTCTCAAGCAGCTAATCTGATCAGAAACTTAGACAGAGATAAGGCAGCAGCCTGCAGGAGCCAGCCCAGGACACAGTGGAAGGAAGGGAGGGGGAAGAGAGGGAGACTTGGGGCCAGGCTGGTGCCTTTACATGTCCAGAGGCAGTGAGCTGGGAGCACAGAGGCCCCTCTGGCTGGAACAGAGACCCCAGACAGGAGCCTTTGGGAGACAGCCTCCAGCTCCAGCACCATCCCTGCTCCTTGGGCTCTGAGCTCCCCAGGTGCAGTCTGAGGTTCAGATCCTGGCCTGGGGCAGAGGGGTAAGGAAGGCTGCAGTTAGGGTGCAGACTGGGCCTGGAAACCCACCCTGGCCGACAGCCCCAACCGTGCAGCCTAATGACCCAGGTCCTTCCCTAGCTGGTCTATCTTCTATCTCAGGCCTTCTAGATCGGGGTCCCTGCAGCAGCCTGTTATCAAGCCCCAGTGGTGATTCTACTTGTGGCCAAGGGGACACAGAATCCTGAGCCTCTGGGCTCACTCACTTCACCAGGCCTTGAATCTATTGGGAGACAAAAAGGGCAGAAATTCAAGGAGCTCAGGATGGTACCAGATGAACAAGGGGCAAGCAGGTGGCCCAGCGGATGGCAGGTCCTGAAGGAGGTGTGCCTCACACTCACCTCTGCGGCCCCTTAGTGAGCTCATGCCCGGTGCAGGGTCCCTGTTGGAAAGGGTGCAGCAGTCCTGGCTGCCCTCGCAGAGTCCCTTCTTGCAGAGGAGAGAGGCACACCTTTAAACTGTGGGAGCAGCCAGAGCAGGAGAGAGAGACTTCAAGGGGTGACTGTCTCTTTGCACAGCCAGCTGGACATTCCTCGGGTGACACTCTATATAAATCCACAGGGGTCATCTGACCACAGACCTTGACCTGCCCACACTGCCCCAGCTGCCCACCTCCTCCCCCGCCTGGAAAAGCTCCCTTCCCCCTTCATCAGCCTCCAGACCTCTCCCCTCCTCTGACCTCTGCTGCATCTCAGGCTGGGTGGTGCTCCTGGAGCAGGTCTGTCCCCTCCTGGGTGGCAGGGCTTCTGTCTCATTCACTGCTGGGTCCTTTAAGTCGAGTACAGAGCCCAGCACTCGGGTGTGCTAGGAGAAGACCTGCCCAGGGGCTCAGGGCTTTCAGAGAAGGAAGGCTCAGAGCAAGGAGGTGGGGTGATCAAGAGGCCACCCAGGGGTCCCAAAAGACAGTGAGGACTTGCTTTAGCAGAAAAGGGAGCTGTCAAGGACCAGAGTGAGGAGGAGCTGACAGGCAACCATCAAGCGGAGACCTACTGGCCCTGGGTTCAGAGACAAGAAAAGGGAGTACAGCACAGCGTGTGTACGTGCGTGTGTGTGGTGTGTGTATGCACGCACTGGGATGGGGGTGGGAAGTGTGCAAAGACAGGCCAGGAAGCAGCCGCCCTAGGGACATTCCAACTCCAGAGCAAAGGCTCCTGAGGGAGGCCCAAGAAGCGGCTGCACCTCCCTTCTCCAGTGATTTGCCTTCCTGAGACACTTTCCTCAACAATCATTAACACCACCGGGGGTGGGGGGTTGTTAACCAATAAATTGGTGGTAAACCATTCCACATAATTATTACCCAAAGAGCACATCTCACAGGGGAGGGGGAAACGGTCAGGCAGCCAAGGAGCCAGGGAGGTGTGGACTGGCAAGAAGGAAGGAGTCACATAAACTGGGGGAGGGGTACTGGCAGGTGCTCAGGGCCTCAGCTGAGACTAGAGGGGATCAGAGAAGGACCTGGCCAGATGGGAAAGGCATGATTTAGAGGGATCCATTATTGCAAGTGGCTCCACAGCCCATGAGGAGCTTAGGTTGGGGAGCCCTGGCAGATGCATCTACTCTGCCCACGACATACATCATTTTCATGGGTGACGTGGCATTTGTGTGCTGAAGTCAGCTCTACCTGGCTGCGTCCTGAAGCCTCCCTGTGTCCCTCTCTCCTCCTCTATAAAATGGAGATGATGATGTTGGTTGGAAATCACAGTTATTCAGTACTTCATCTACCTAAGCCCTGTGGGCACTTTACATGCCATTTAATTTCCCCAACGTCCCTCTGGATGGACACTTTCATAATCCCCGGAGTAACTGCCTCTTTGATGTGTCTGCACACTGGTCAGAACATCATGGAAGTCTTGGTGCACAGCAGGTATTCAATAAGCACTTGGTGCACAGTAGGTGTTCAATAAGGAGCAACTGCTGCTCTAACTGTTCTATGACTGAGCCCCTGCCTTCTCTGCCCTGCCCCTGGCTACCAGATAGACCACAAGATTTATTCTCCTTCCTCCTCACCAGGACAGATGGTATTTTTCCTGCTAACCCAATGTCATAAGTAAAGTAAACATCTCACAATATTTGAATGCAACAGTGGATGAAGAGCCCCGGTGGCAGAAATGCGACACAAGGTCATCATTCGACCATTATTAAGCACTTTTTTTTCTCTTTCTTTTTTTTTTTTTAAGGCTGAGGCAAAATGAATCACTCAAAAACTCAGGGAGAATGGGAATCACGGATCCCTCTAAATCAGCCCTCAAAAACGTACCACAGACTCAGGAAGATGCAAACAGTTCCTCCTGCCTTCCCTGGTCCTCTGTAGCCAGGACCACCTCCAAGGCTCCAGGCCGGCTGTGTGTGTGTGTGTGTGTGTGTGTGTATACGTGTGCGTGCATGCACACACACACACACACACACACGCTGTGATGTGAGAGGCTGGCCCAAACCCAAGAGGGCCCAACAGGAAGCGGAAGCTGTGAGTAGTGACACTCAAGTGGGTGAAGAGGTTTCTCACTGTAACTGTCCCTAAACCCAAGCTGTTCCTTCCTGACCTCAAAGCCCCAACTGTCACCACCTACTGTGGAAAATAATTCACTTTGTTCAATGGGGGGAAGCTGGGCCTCTAGATGAAAAGTGACAAGAAAAAAAAAATCACTTCCATGATTTTTTTCTCCAAATAGATGGTGCCACACAGATGCTGTGGGTCCGTGAAGTAGGGGGTACTGTCAAGGTGGAAACAAACTTGGTGATAGGACCTCGCATTTCTTGACTCTGGAATGTCATCCTGGGCAGGTATCTGGGTAAGGAGGCAGAAAAGTTGTCCCTCCTGTAGCCTGAGTCAAGGACTGCCTTCTAGATACCAAGACTAGAGATTTCACCATTAGAGATTCATTTCTTTGGGTCTTTAAGGAAGGGCCCAAGGAACATGCTAATACTTGGGAAGAGGGAAGGTGTTGTGATGATGATGTGAGATTATTAGAGAAAACTCTCACTTTTTTGACACTAGGAATTGAGTGCAGGGGCATACTACCACTGAGCTACATTCTTAACCCATTTATTTATTTTTTCTTTTTTAAAAAAATTTTTTTTTTAGTTGTAGATGGACACAGTACCTTTATTTACTTTTATGTGGTGCTGAGGATTTCGATCCTCACACGTGAAAGGCAGGCACTCTACCTCTGAGCTACAGCCCCAGCCCTAATTCTTTTCTTTTGAGACAGGTCTTAATAAGTTGTCTGAGCTGGCCTTGAACTTGCGATCTTTCGTCCTCAGCCTCTGGAGTTGCTGGGGTTACAGGCGTGCACCTCTGTGCCTGGCTAAAACTCTTACAGAGGTCCAACCCGTCATTCCTGGACAAAGGGAATTCATTTACCCAATAACTGTCAGCAGCTCGAGTTTCAGGGGGACAAATTAGAGCAGGAAGGGAGGAGTGAGGGGCAGAGAAGTCATTTATGTTAGGCTCATCATCAACAGGCAAAGAGCACTGGGCAAGGAGCCCAAAGACCTGGTTCAAGTCTGAGTGGAGCCATCCTTGGGAAGCCCAAAGGGACACTGTGCGAGCTGACCTTCGTGCACCTCCGTCTCCTCATCCTGAGCAACTGCAGACGGTGATGCTGCTCTGCTCTTCCTCGGTGGCCCAAGAGCACCTGCCAATAATGGGCCCTCTATTCACAGTGGCTATGGCGCCAACCGAGGTGCCATCAATGGGGGAGGGGATAAAGACAATGGGATGTACATACACAATGGCATATCTGCACATTCAGCTGTGAAGAAGAATGAAATCCCGTCCTTTGTGACATGCATGGACCTTAACCACATTAAGTGAAATAAGCCAGATGCAGAAAGACAAACACGGCGTGCTGAGCCGAGTGTGGAAGCTAAACACATAGAGTAGTGATCCGAATATAGAATAGCCATCACCGGAGGCTGGGCAGCGGAGTTGGGGGATAAAGGGAGGCTGGATTTGATGAGTACACCCTGTGCCTGTTGGAAATACCACCCTGAACCCCACTGATGTGTGCTATTAACACATGTTAATCAAAAATGAAATAAAATATCAAATTAAAAAAAAGAGCGCCAGCATTGGCAGGCTCTGGTTGAGCAATGCTGGAGGGGAATGGGCACCCTCCAGGTGTTCACCTAGGGCAGGTATCATTCAACCCCTGGAGACCTGGTCAGCACTGTCCTCCTCCCCCCAGTAGGCCACTGCGACCACAAACCCAGGAGTGGAGCAGAGCCGCCCTATCAGGTGTTTTCCCTTTGAAAGTCAAGTCTGAGGCCTTGGGACAATGGAGGGTGTTCACAGCACCAGGCTGCTGGAGCCCAGCCAGGGGCTGTGTCCCTCCCCTTCCCAGCCCTTGTCCAGCCAGCAACAGGAGCCTGGCCACTGGACCCGCAGCTTGGGCACCTCCTCTGCTCTTTGTGGGTCCTCAAGGAAATCCTGGGGATGTGAGCCAAGACGGGTCATGGAGGAAGATTGGTCTGCACACATGAAAGGCAAAGGTGGTGCTTCCAGAAGAGAAGTTGCTGGAACACTGCTTCTAGGTTGTAGCCTAACACCCTGGAGTCTCTGGACTTACCCTGTGACCAGTCTGCTGTGAGATCCTTGGCCTGGGATCAAACACAAGGGGGTCATATGATAAATCTAGAAAGTCCCAGTTCTGTCCAGCAACCGAGTTCCAGCAACCGTCCTGGGGACGAAGGTGAAGATGGCCTGGGTAAGCCAGATGGATGCTCCACCCTCCTTCACACACACACACACACACACACACACGCACGCACACACACATATACTTTTTTTTCTCATTTACAATTAAAAACAAACAAACAAAAAAGATCAGCCAGGTTCTAGAGAGGACGTGGACAAAAACATTTAAGAAATGAACTACTGATGTCCCCCGTGTCAGCAACTGAAGCCTTCTCCTGTTGGCACCCTTCTTCAAAGCCCACTCTTTCCTGTTGCTACCTTTCACCAAGAAAGAGACCAGGTGACAGACATCACTGAGCTCCTAGCTGGGAATAACAGTTGGTCCCTGTTGGGGGGGCTGGGGGATAAAGGGAGACTTGGGGAACGAGCAGCTGTGAATGAACCTGTCCTTCACAGAAATGTAGATCCCCGAGTTCAGCTCACCCAGGCTCCCAGGCTGGTGCCACCTGTTCCCTCCCTCCCAGAAGGCTCCCCTGTTGCCCCTGAGGTGACCAATCACCGTGCCATGGCCACCCCTGAGGTCTGATGCTCGACCTCCCCAGGGCACACCTGGGGTGCAGAATGCCAGGCACAGGGGCCTCCCCCTGGACTTCCTTTTCTCTTCTTCCTGCTTCGCCACCTTCCCCAGAGCCACTTCTTCTTTCCAGAAGTCCTCACCAACCACAGCCCATCTGGGTTCCCTTTAGTCTCTGCACTGACAGCTGGGATCGTGTGGCACAGCAGTGAATTGCTATGTGTGTCTCTGAAGGACATAAAACAAACATCCCCGAGGATGGGACCCTGTGACCCCCAGCACAGGGTCCAGTCACTCTTCCTGAGACCTAGGTAAGTGCCTGCGGAATGGAGACTATCTCCTCACACATCCCCTCTCAAGAAGGTAAATAACCCTTTGGGTGATCACCAGGTAACATAAGCAATTGTCAAATGGGTGCATGCATTTGCAGACTCCAGTGGTTTTAGGGTCTTGCAGAGCATAGGACTGTGACCTAGGTCAGCCTTATTACAGTAGGAGCCTCCACACACAAAGATCTGGTGTGATGTGAGGAGTGTGGACCAAGCCCCCAATAGCAGTGCCACGACCAATCCCTGCACCGTTATTCCTCAGTTCTTCAAGTTTTGAAGACATTTTGGTCTTTAAGAATTCTCTTCTCAGGTTGAATGTCCTTGAAAGATCTGAACCAGTGGACAGGTATGGACCCTGATTCAGGCAAAGGGAGGTCCGTGGAGGGACAAGGGACCTTCAAGGGGAGGTAGAGGCCAAGATGACAGAGGCTCACTTCAGACAGGAGGGGAAACACCTGCGCCATTGAGCCAGATGGAAGGGAGGGAGGGGGGTGCCAGCACGCAGGGTTGAGGAAGTGACGACGGTGGTTGAGAGCATCCAG